CTACATGTTCACAGCCATAGATGAATTGGCCTTCTCATACTTGTGGAAATACTTGGTAGTCTTTGAAAATAATAATAAGAAAATATATTATTTAATGTTTATGAAATTGCAAATGCCTAACATATATGTATTCAGTGTTGAAAATCCTAACCAAGAGAATTTTTCCAATTGGACACTAGATATCAGATGTTTTTCTTCTCTGAGCTCAGACAAAGCATCCTTCATTTGGTAAATTCTTAGCTGAGTTCCTTACACTTTAAGAAGATAGTTTCATTTTTAACTGACAGGCAGACTTGGAGGATTTCTCATAGATACATTAATTCTGAAGTCATATTAAAATCTCCTGTGGTACATACCTATTTATTTATTAGGAGGGGGGGGGAGAAAGGTGCATGTGAGTCTGCATATTTATTTGTTTTTTAAATATATATATTTTTATTGATTTTGGAGAGGGAGAGAGAGGTGGAAACATCAATGATGAGAGAGAATCATCGTTCATCTGCCTCCTGCATGCCCCACACTGGGGATTGAGACTGCAACTCGAGCATATGCCTGACCGGGAATCAAACAGTGACCTCCTGATCCATAGGTCAATGCTCAACCACTGAGCCACACCGGCTGGGCCTGCATGCTTAATTTTGGGTCATTTGATATGTATATTAACTGTAAGCCGACACAGCAGTACATGTCCAGAATTTAGTAACCCAGTGCTTTTTTACTCCCCTGAGGTTAAGGCCATATTCTTTTATTTTCATTTATTATTTACTCAACAAATTATTTTTTAGTATCTGGAACTGCAATAGATACTAGAGATGCAAACGTGAATTAGACCTGGTCTCTGCCTTCCACTAATGGAGCAAGACGAATACATTTTAAAAAAGTGGTAATGCTGAGTTTTAATTGCTATTATAGGGAATGCTTTGGATACTGTGGAAGTGAAGAGAGGGATCAGTTAGCCCAGACCTGGGGAGCAGGGATGGTTACAGAAGTCTCCCTGTGGAGGAGTGGTGCTCTGAGTTATAAAGGAACAGAAGTGCACCAGGTGGGAGTGAGGAGGCAGCAGAATGTCGCAAGAGGACCGAATAGATGTACATACACAGAGAGGGCCAAAGAAGAGGCATCTGTCTAGCCATACCTGGGAAAGCCAGAGAAGGCTTTAAAAAATTATTTTAAATTAATTTCAGAGAAAGGAAGGGAGAGGGAAAGAAAGATAGAAACATCAATGATGAGAGAGAATTTATGATCAGCTGCCTCCTGCACGCCCCCTATTGGTGATTGAGCCCGCAACCCAGGCATGTGCCCTGACTGGGAATCAAACACGTGACATCCTGGTTCATAGACCAATGCTTAAGCACTGAGCCACTGTGGCCTGGCCAGAGAAGGGTTTTTGAGGAGACCAACATTTGAACACTGAACATTGAAAGTAGATTGGCATGGCTGGAGTACAGAGGGTCATGAAGATAGAGTCTAGAAAATGTAAGTAAACTAGACACATAACATGAAGAGCCTTGATACATAAGAAGGAGTATGTTTTTATTCAGTAAAATTTAACTTCTTTGGGGCATGGAGCCTTTTGAGAATGGAAAAATGAATGGAGCCTCTCCCATGAAAATGCACAGAGAATTCTGTGCTTATAGGGCTGCCATAGACTTACCAAGTAGTTGTTCCCTCAGTCTCTGCTTGTGTGTGGCATTCAGTAGATTTCATCTCAGTCCTCCACTGGAGTAAATGTTTATTATAGCTACTAGAGGCCCGGTGCATGAAATTTGTGCACAAAGGAGGGGGGGGGGTGTCCCTCAGCCTGGCCTGCACCCTCTCCAATCCAGGACCCGTCAGGGGATGTCCGACTGCTGGTGTAGGCCTGATCCCAACTGGGGAAAGCAGGCAGTTGGACATCCCTCGCAATCTGGGACTGCTGGCTTCTAACTGCTCACCTACCTGCTGGCCTGATCCCCCTAACTGCTCTCCCCTGCCGGCCTGATCCCTCTAATTGCTCTTCCCTGCCGACTTGGTCCCCCTAACTGCTCTCTTCTGCTGGTCTGATCCCCCTAATTGCTCTCCCCTGCCGGCCTGATCGCTCCTAACCGCCTCTGCCTCAGCCTCACCACCATGACTTTGTCCGGAAGGACGTCCAGAAGGTCGTCCGGAATACGTCCGGTCTAATTAGTATATTACCTTATCTAATAAAAGAGAGAGAACCAGCAGGATTTTACCTTATCTAATTAATATATTAGATAATATATTACCTTATCTAATTAGTATATTACCTATACTAATAAAAGTATAGGTAAGGTTTGCAAGTACATAAGAATAAAGACCTGAAGTTGTTTCACCCTGGAGACCTGTGAATAGTTTTTGTAATTGGATTATGCTGGTATTTTCTGATAATTTTACATAAATGATCAGTTTCAACACCAAGTCAGTCCAACTATGATTTTGTGGAATTAAAGTATGGGATGAACAGACTGGGTCTGGCTGAGAATGATACTTTCCTGAAAAATTCAAAAGGGTCTTTAATTATGTTGATAAGGAAGTAAACTTCAGAACACATTAAAAATCAAATTATAGTTTCTTCAAATAAAATAATTAGGAAAATCATAATAAATTCTTTAAAGATTATTTAAAGTAAAACTACTGAACAATTTAAAATTCCACAATCATCTTTATCGTAATGAACTAATGATTTATTATTGTGCTTGGGAACTATTAAAAGTTCAGGTAAAGTTTATAACATAGGACAAAGAATTAAGACTAAAAGGAAGGCATTACAAATTCCAGAGTGTTATATAGTAGTAAAAACCACAAGGCTTGATATTCAAATAAATTGTGTAAGAAGATAAGTCTATTTTATTTGGTTATTGCAATAGAGTATCAAGGAAATTTTCTCTGATTATGTTCTAAATGAATTATAAACACAATAATTTTCTCTTTATTTCTAAATGTGTCATACCTTTTAGAAATTAGAAAGTAAATGTAATTTAAAGTTGCAGCTAACTTTATGATAAATACTAGTCCCAAAGTTCTAAAAACCATCTACATGTTAATATGCCTAAATTTATATCTTTTGCTCAGACCATTCTCCTGAACTCTAGACTTAAATATCTAACTGCCTACTCAATATATCTCATTTGGCAATCTAAGAGACAACTAAAATGGAATATGTCCAAAGCTGAACTGCAGATATTCCTACCCAAATCTGCTTTACCCATAGCCCTTTCCACATAGATTCATTCATCTAATTGTTTAGGTCAAAACCTTCAAGGCGTTGTTAACCCTTGCATTTCTTTCACAGCCTACACCCAACCTGTAAGGAAATCCTGCTGGTTCTCACTCTCTTTTTTAAAGTATATTTTTATTGATTTCACAGAGGAAGAAAGAAGTAGAGAGAGATAGAAATATCAATGATGAGAGAAAATCACTGATTGGCTGCCTCCTGCACTCCCCCCACTGGGGATTGAGCCCGAAACCCGGACACGTGTCCTTGACTGGAATCAAACCTGGGACCCTTCAGTCCTCAGGCTGACACTCCATCCACTGAGCCAAACTAGCCAGGGCTGGTTCTCTCTTTAAAGAAACCCAGAATCCCACCACTTGTCCCCACTTAGGGCTATGGTCAACCAGGCCACCACTCTCTCACATAGATAACTGGCCTTGCTCCCCTGTGTCTACCATTGGCTCTCTCCATAGTCTATTGATAAAAACAGCCAAGTGATTCTTAAAAATGTAGGAAAGGTTATGCCTCTGCATTTAACCCTGTAGTTGCTACCTGTTTTATTCAAAGTGAAAGCCTGTGAAGCCTTGCAGGGCCTGGCTCCCTGTGAACTGCTGGCCTCATCCTTTCACTCTACCCTTCATTCACTCTGGCGTTCTTCCTGTGTTGGAAGATGCCTGGTAAACTCCTATCATAGGGATTTTACATTAGCTGTTTTTTTTTTTTTTCTGCCTGGAATTCTCTTCTTCCAGAAATCTGTGTGTTTAACTCCTTTGCCTCCTTCAAGTGTTTTGCTAAAAAATCTCATCTTTTCAAAGACACCTGCCCTGAATTCCCTATGTAATATCTCAGTTTCTTTCCATAATCACCACACTCATGATCTCCCTAACTGGGGTTTACTTTTCTTTTTTATTTAGCACTTATCATATCTAAAGTATTATATAATGTATACATTATATATGTACATATATAATATAGGTATATGTGTATCCTAGATAATAAAAGGCTAAATGACCGTTACAGTGGAATGACTGGAACGACCAGTCGCTATGATGCGCACTGAGCAGGCAGGCATGCGAGTGGTTAGGGGTGATCAGGCAGGAAGGCGAGTGGTTAGGGGCGATCAGGCAGGCTGGCAAGTGGTTAGGGGTGATCAGGAAGGCAGGCAGGCAGGTGAGCAGTTAGGAGCCAGTGGTCCCGGATTGTGAGATGAGAGGGATGCCCAACTGCTAGTTTAGGCCCAATCCCTGGCAGTCAGACATCCCCCGAGGGGTCCCGGATTTCATGCACCAAACCTCTAATATATATATATATATAGTTATTGACCATTTTCACTCATTAGAATATGAACTCTATAAGGCAGTGACCTTGATTATTTTTTATTGATGTGCTCTACGTGCTAGGAGAATGCCTGGTACTTAGTAGGTGTCTATGTATATTGGATAAAAGGCTGAATAATTTCAATAAAACTCTTAAAAATCTGAAGAACTTGGAAAGTACTGTCTACTTTCCCTTGGTGTGTAATGTTTGAGCTTAATCATAATTAGTAAATCTTACATAGTAATAGCGAAATACATTTTTCTCCAAAAGTCAGTTATTTTTCAAGATATGGTGACATAGGATTTGTTTAAATTACTTTAAATACTAATTAATATTGAACTGAGATATTTTTACTCAATAGAATGAGTGCTGCTAACAGTAAACTAAGATATGTGTATCTATTTCTCTGTTTCTCTAAGGTATAAATCCACCACGGAAAGTTTATGCTAACCCTGAGGACGTGGGGGAGGACAGTATAATTCTTCAGTGGGAATCCCCACAAGATGGCCATCAGGTCTACATACAAATTGAATCCATACCAGATAAAAGAGAAGTCATGACTTTTTTTGTAAAGGATGCTAATAGATTCAAGATTGATAATTTAATCCCTGGAATGACTTATGACATTGGAATGGCAACAGTGATGAATGGGAATTTGAGTGAGCTGGTAACTATTCAACAAACTCTAAGTGAGAACCAAATACTTCTCATTTATTCTTTTTTGTTTTTAATTGCACATAAAGGCAGGTAGCTTTATTTAAGGTATGCTAGTTTACTTAAAGTAAAGCCTGATACATACACACAAAGCCTGATCTATAGAAGACCTTGATTATTGCTTTGTTTTATTCTTTAAACTTTTTAAATATTTATTTTTTATTTATTCAATATCTAAAATTTTATATGTCTCCTTTTCCCCCGCTTGACCCCTCCCCGCCACTCCAGCCATTCCCACCCCCGGCAAGCCCCCACCACCCCAGGGTCTGTGTCCATTGGTTATGCTAGTATGCATGCATACAAGTCCTTTGGTTGCTCTCTAACCCACCCACCCCCTGCCCCCTTCCCCTGCCATTTGTCTCTGGATCTATTCTTGTTCATCAAATTATGATGATCATTATATCCTTAACAGATATTTTCTGATCTTGGGGTCCTATAAAATATTCTCTATAGACCCCGCTGGTAGCAGGTTTTAAGTAGATTTTTAGTGTGCTTTGTCTAATGGTAGCCTCAGGAACTAGAGTCATTTTTTAAATATATTTTATTGATTTTTTACAGAGAGGAAGGGATAGATATAGAGAGCTAGAAACATAGATGAGAGAGAAACATTGATCAGCTGCCTCCTGCACACTCCCCACTGGGTAAGTGCCCACAACCAAGGTACATGCCCTTGACTGGAATTGAACCTGGGACCCTTGAGTCTGCAGGCCGACGCTCTGTCCACTGAGCCAAACCAGTCACGGCTGGAGTCATTTTTATTCCTTTTATTCTGACAATTCTCCCTGCTTGTATAAGGCAGCATTGTTTACGATTGTTTATGATTAGGAACCTGGTCCTAATGCCATACTATCTAGGCTTGAATCTGGGTTCAACTCTTTGAATAACCCTGGGCAAGTATAGAATTTGAGGCATTTACTCAACCTGTAAATGCCTTAATTTTGATACTTATAAAACAAGAGAAAATAATGGGATTTCCTGAGAATAGCTGATGTAGTAAATGTAAGGGCTTAGAACAGTGCCTGACACATAGCTATGTAAGTGTTTGCAATTATTATCAACAGATATACAGTAGCACACTGGAAGGAAATATTGACAGTATATAAAAGGTTTAGGATTAAGCCAACAATAATTTTTATGTCCTTTCTTAAATAAGTTTACTAAATTAGTAATCATTGAAAAAATCTATTAAGGAAAGACAGTTAAAAAGTAAAAAAATATATGATTAAATAATATTTATACATATTTATATTATGATAAACATTAGGAGAGGAAAATGCAAAGTGATATAATAGAGAGTAATTGAAGAGGGATGGAGGGTTCTATTGTAAACAGGCTGTAATAGAAGGAGTTACATTTGAATGGAGATGTAAAGGAGGAGCCAGAGTGGAGTTGGAGGAAGGGCACTTTAGGTACACAGCTAGCACAAAGGATGTGAAACAGGAAGAGCTTTGGTACATCTAAAAACAAGGCCACAATGCGTGGTGTCTAATGGATAGGGAGAAAGGTGTTGAGAAATGACATTGGAGAGGTACTCAAAGGTCAGATCACCTAGCATATGCTTTGAGTTACTTCTGAGGTGAGGGGAAGCCATTGAGAGTTTTATGCAGGAGAGTGACAGTGTGACCTACGTTACAAACATTTACCTGTGGCTGTGTGCAAAGAATGATATGTAAAAGGGCAAGGAAACTGTGTAAGAGGCTGTAGAGTGTAGACAAAAGATTATTGTGGACAAGTTGGGGAAGGACAGGTAGATTTCATATTATGGAAGTAGGTGGTCCAGGCTTTGATGCTGGAGTGCTTGTGGTGAATAAAGGAAGAGAGATACTTAGGGTTTTGACATGAGTAATTTGGGTGGATAGTGGTGACTCTGAGGTAGGGAAGATCATGGGACCTCACAGGCGTTTTGGCTATCAGTAAGGGCAGCCTGGTGGAAAAGTGAATTGGTTCAAAAAATTATGTACCAGCAGTGTCTACACTCAACCAACATTGAATCTCCCTGTTTTATCCTCCAAAGACTAAAATTAAACTCATGTATGACTCTTTCTTTAATTTCTGAGAAAGTCTACCTAAAGTTAATTATCATAAGAAAGTTATGATAACGAATACTAAGGAAGAGATATTGTTGAAAGCAATTATTTCATGCCTAGGATTTATTGGCAGAATGGAAGTACTAAAATTAAACTGCATAGATGGGACATGAACTCTAGTCTTAGATCTACCATTATTAGAAGTATGAGGATAGAGTGTTTCCATTTTGTCTCGGTGCTTAAGTTTTCATTCTAAAAAAAAAATTAGGCCATTGAATACATTTTAAAATTGGCTTCCAGCTCTAAAGTCATATTCTTTTTTGTTTCTATGGAAATTAGCATAGTTTAATCAGTCTTCCATCTAAAATATAAAATTTTTGCCACATTTTCTAGATAATGATCTATTTTGTAAAGTTTTCAGCTCTGTAGCTTCAGGCATAAGCACAGTTCTTGATTTTGTTTAATTTGAGCATTATTTATAAAACTGCTATCCGACATGGAAGCTGAAACATGGATTAACATCTATAAATTTTAGGAAGAATAATAGAATGTTGGTGTTTGAAGGTAGGGCAGAGATCTTCTTGCCAATCTGATATACAGTTCCCAGTGTAGTGCCTGATCATTTTGTAATTCATGACTATAATTTTCCTGTATTGTGGGGTCACATGTGTTCTCCAGGGCATCACAGAGCAAATCTACTCCCAGATTCACATGAAAGATCATCAAATGTTTGGGAACAGCTGTTATGTACTCCTGGTTCCTATGGTATCTTTTTTTAAAAAATATATTTTTATTGATTTTAGAGAGGAAGGAAGAAGGAGAGATAGAAACATCAATGATCAGAATCATTGATCAGCTGCCTCCTGCACACTCTTAACTGGGGATTGAGCCCGCAACCCAGGCATGTGCCCTTGACTGGAATCAAACCCGGGACTCTTCAGTGCACAGGCCGACGCTCTATCCACTGAGCCAAACAGGCCTGGGGTCCTATGGTTTCTTTCCTTCTGGTGAATTATCTCTAGTTCTTTCGAGTGTTCTATTTCTTATAATCCTATTGGCCTATCTATTCAGTTCTTAAGCTTCATAATCATCAGATTATTTATCATTCATCATTTATACTTGTCTCAAGAAGATAAAATAAATATTAACCTATTCCAAGGTACATAGGTAGAATTAATGCTTTCCATGCATTTATTCAACTAGTATTAGTTGATAACTATTATTTACTATGTCCTGTTTTACTCTCTTCTATACACTTTGAGGCAATCAAGCATAGAGGGGTATTTTCTCTCTCTCTCTCTGTTTCTCTCTCTCTCTGTTTCTCTCTCTCTCTCTTTCTCTCTCTCTCTCTTATTCTGAAAATAACGAGCAAAGCTTGATTTCCATTTATTATTATGGACCTTGAAACATAAATATGCCCTTTAGGAAAAGGCAGTCTCACCAGCACAGACTTGGAACTGGATTGCCTGGGTCAGAAATCCAGCTCCACAATTACCAGTTGACATCCTTGGGGAAGTCATTCAAACTTTTTGATCCTCAGTTTCCTTCTCTCTAAAATGAGAAAGATAAGAATCGTATCTAATTTATGGAGTTCATATAATTTAAGGGCTCAGACATGAAGCACGCACTATGGGGGTATTTGCTGTGGTGGGTTGTATTTTTCCGTAGGAGTGGAGTGTGGCACTGAGGGGCTGTGGCCATCCTTAGTGGGAAGAAAAGCTGTTCCTGCTTTCCATGCAGTCCCTCCTGGTTGGAGGAATGCACTATACACAGTTTTCTTGACGCAACGAGAGCTATAGGAGAGCTGGTGTTTGTGTTTTCTTTTTACCTCTTGGTATAGAAAAATAAATTTTAAGATAGTTGGGTGTCCCTGAGACCCAATTCTACCTTGTCTGTAGTAATAGCCTTTGATTTGGCCTAGTTAATTTTCTCTCATATTAAAATAAACCTCACACAGCCCCCAGTGCTACCCCTTCTTCTGAAAGAGCTTTTGAAGTAAAATGGGTAAGGATAGAGGTCACAGTAAGGGTGGTGGAGACCCATCACAAATGCCCAGATTATGTCAATACCTTTCTATTTTTTTTTTTAAGTGAAATCTTATCCAGCTTGAGCTTGCAGAGGTTCAGGATAGAATTTTGAAGAGAAGGAAGAACTTTGCCCTGTTCTACACATTTCCAGCCTTGGTGAGCCCTCAGGTGTAATGTGTCACTCAGTAAGGCCATTGGCTCCATTTCTCCGGGCAACTGAAACTGATGGAAAATCTCACATTTTCCAACTGGAGAGAATGTCACTGACTCTATATAGCAGGGGTGGGCAACCTTTTTGTGAGTGCGTGCCAAAACCAGCAAAATCTCTGACTCAAAATTCATCTGCGTGCCAACCCTAATTTTTTGAGAACATGCCCAGTTGAGATCTCTTAAGGTGTACGTATGTGAAGAGCCTTAAAGAAATAATAAAATTCATTCGAGTGACAAAAACACAGTATATGATGATGAAAAATACATTTATTTTTTAATGTATACATGTTATGTAAAATTATTTATTTATCTAAGATGCACCTACACTGAATTTATCTGAAAAATAAAAAAGTCGATATTAAGAAAAAAATTGTAAATGGAAGATTATAAGAGAGGGTTTCACGTGCCAGCGAAAGTTACTGGCGTGCCATGTTTGGCACGCGTGCCAGGGATTGCCCACCCCTGCTATATACCTTTATTTTATTTTATTTTATTTTATTTTATTTTATTTTATTTTATTTTATTTGTTGTTTGTTTAAATTGATTTCAGGGAGAGAATGTGAGAGGAAGACAGGAATAGAAACATTAATGATGAGAGATACTCATTGATTGGTTGCCTCCTGTAGACCCCCTACTGGGAAGTGAGCCCATAACACAGGCACATGCCCTGATCAGGAATCCTGGTTCATGGGTCAATGCACAACCACTGAGCCACACTGGCCAGGCTCAATATATCTTTAGAACTTAAACTAGTCAATGACTATTTAAAGCCGTGTCTCTCCTTAGAAAATGTCTTTGGCACCCAGGAAAATGGAAATGAATTGTTTCCATGACTACACTGGTCACCCATTTCTAATCCCAGATTATTAATTCCTGCTCAAGAAGCTTTCACAGATCATGGCCCACGGATTCAGATGGACTGGGTACTTGTGGGATGTCATCCTAGCCATATTTACTGCAGGAGCTTTGCAACAGAAGAGAACCGGAAGGAATGTAAAGAGGAAATCTACAAAAAAAAATTAGTTATGGACCAAAAGGGAAAAGTTAAGATAATATAGCTGGAAAAGAAAAACCATGTATAAAAGCGCCTTGAAACCCAGTAGTATACCATATGGAAATTTTTTTATGTTTAGTGTATTGAATATTTTCTCATAACCCCAAGAATAGAAGAGGCAAGAAATTTATATGTTCCAGCTGAATAAGTTGATGGCTATTGCACAGATTTCCATGCTCTGGAATGCTAATTATAGGTATGTGCCTAAATACTTTACACATTACTGGTTCTATGTGAAGTAGCAGAATCTCATTATTGAATATTTAACAGTGACTTAGAATAATTTCCATTGCCTGAATCCAGATGTCACCAGTAGAACTGAAAAGGCCATCTAATTATTCTGTGGAGGACAAAAGGACTTTTTTTCAGAATAGATATTTCAGAAGATATCTACTTGGGACAAATCTAGGGATATACCGGATGTTATCCCAATAATCCACAGATAGAATTGAGATTAAAATTGACTTGAGGAAAAATGTGAATAGAATTTGTATGAAATTTCAAATCTGCTCTAAATAGCACAGTGGGAGGCTGAGGTGAAAGAAAGCTATTTAATAGAGGTCAGGGAGAGTGTAAAATGTCCTCCAGGCAGGTGCCAGAACTGTGTTCCTAAAAATGAAATGAAATGTCTGCTCAAATCCCCGTGCCTGCAGGATACTGACGGACATCTGTGGCCTGGTATGCGAAGCCTCTCACAGACAGTGTCCGGCCACAGAAGTGGCCCTCCCATGCCTTGTCCCCTCTCCTCTCACACACCACATGCTTTCACCAGCTTAAATGTGTGTCTGCACAGCTCTAAGCACTTTATCTATAAATACAGCCTCTCACTTAATCATCACAATGACCCTGCAAAGTAGATACCAGTCTCCTTCCCGTTTTAGGGATGAGGAAACCAAACCACAGAAGGACTAAGTAACTTGCCAAGATGCTCTGCTAATAAAGAGCATAAAGAACTGGACACTCCCAACACATGATGATGCCTTTTGGGTTTCCACACCGGGCTCATGTATTCCCTTTGCCTGGGATTTCCTTCTTTCTACTTCTTCCCCCTCACACACACTCTTTCTGGTAAACTTGTACTGTCCTTTAAGGCTCAGATAAAACCTCACTGATGCTGGAAAGCCTTCCCCAATTATCTCTGCTACAATTGATATTTCTTCCTCTCCTCTCAACAGCTTTTTGTTCATGTCATCAGCTCAGCTCTTGACACAGGATAGGGACTTGGGCCCGGGAGAGAGAGAATCTAGGTGGTCAGGAAGCCAAGCTAAGACCAGATGGCCAGAAGGAATGCCAGATAAACTGGAGTCAAGAAAGTTACCACTGCTCCATTCCCTACTCAAAAACAGAGGTAGCTGACTTCATCTCCTTTCTAACTGGGGTGGTGATGATGAGTAGTCCATCACCTTGCCCTCACAGCATGGTGAGAACATAGTTAGGAGGCAACCCAGCTGCAAAGGGAAGTCACCTGATGCTGAAATGGAAAACTCCACAAGCCTGCTTCTGTCTAAAAAGCCAATTTTTTTTTTTTTCACACAAGCCTGCCTTCTTTCCAGCTTATAAAAGCAGCCAAGCAGAGCCAGCCCCCAGCCAGTTCCCAGGACTTTCCTCTGTGCTGCCTTCCTTGTGCTCAAGCATAAGCTTAATAAAATCTGTCTGGAAATTTCCCTGAGGTTTCCTCTCTATTTCTACCCAACGTCAGTAACACTTTGACCACTTGGGTTTCTAGTTAGTGGTATGTGCATCTACTTCTGAGATTGGGAACTCTGAATGCAGAAACCTGGCCTTATTTATTTTATTTGAGTACTCGTTGTAGTATATAGGTTCTCAGAAGTATTACTTAATAAATAAATAAGAAAGATAACCACTTGCAAAATCTCTAATTATGTTTTTGATACTATTGCTGCAAATCAAAAGGTAAAAGTTAATTATGTACTTCCAGTATACTTGTACATAGAGTCTATCAAAAGATCCACCTTGTTTCTCTGTCTAATGCTGACATAGGAAACATAAGTCTAATGCATAGACATTTAATATTTTTACATATTCTAGGACATGCCAGACAAAATACAGAGAAATATACTTGAAAATTTGAAGAAACCTACTAATTATAAATCTCTCTTTTTACCTTTCAGAGCCCAAACCAGTACAAATTATTATTCCTTATGAAAGTTATAGTACCTCTGTAATCTTATTTGTTCAAACACCTGATATTGGAGTGTTTGATGGCATACAGATTGTAACTGAAGGAGGGCCAAATGTAACCAGGCCTTTAAAACATGACAATAAAATAACCGTTGACAACTTAACCCCAGGCACAGAATATAATTTCTTTGTTTCCATCATCAGTGGGACTAAATTAAGTGATGTATATTATGTGCCTGCAGTAAAAACATGTAAGTATTTTAGGACTTGCGTAAGCTTTATCTTGATTTTGGTTTGTGTACCATTTCAAATTAGTAGGCCATGCCCACGGTAATGCAATAGTTTTTAAAGATCTTGTAAAATAATTGCAAACACCTTATTACTGATCCCAATCTTTTATTGCCTAGAGTTAACCTTGCATAAAATTGAGGCCATAAAATTTTGAATCTACCCATTATCAAAAATGTGCTTGTAATCAGAACTTTCCATGGCTGAATCCAAAAGTGAGGAATGTGAGTAATTTTAGGCAGATTGTGAGGACTAAGTTACATTTTTTGAAAGTGTCTCTCAGAGTGTAACATCAAGTGTGTTTGCTCTCCCTTGTGCTGCCATTCGTCTGGAATGAACTAATGCATATTTTCCCTACCTCTGAATATTTACAATGAAAACATGTTACATTTGTTCATACCAATACTTACATTATGAGGTTCATATTGATTTAGACTCATCTTTTTTTAAGTCACTCAAAAATTCTACAAATCTTGATTTTGACATTTGGGATATATGTAATTTATCTAAGATATTTATCTAGTATGTGCAGAAATAAATGGTACAGAGTAATAAATGGCATACAAATATCATATGGACTTTAAAAAACATTACAATTTTGACTATACCATGTCCAGGTGCTTTATGATTTGCTCTTTCTGTTTATAAATTTTTTCGCATATATCATTATACTACCAAGTTTCTTCTTTCTCCCAAATTATAATCCTTCCACGACTGTTTAAACTTAAATTTTCCATGAAATACTCCCAAACTGATGTCACAAGTCACATTTTTTCAATAGTATTTTAACATATTTATAATAATCTCAGTACATATTTTATTTTTGCTTGTAATTTTTATATACTTTTCATATATGTATTCTCTGCCTCTCTTCCTTATATTATAAATCTCATGGGTAGCATTCTCTTAGACAATTCTTGTCTTTGAAAATAATTAGTGCTTGATTATCTAAAAATGTCAATATTGTGATACAAGCAGTAAAATATATCAATATATACGATAGTCTAAAACTGTCAGTTTTTTCAGTTATTTTGCAATAATTTTTGCCTTTATGCTAAATAGGATCCTTTAAATTAGAAAAATAACCATTAAAAACTCTGGAGATAAAAATTTGTTTCTAGGTTCAGCCAATATTTCATACAAAGAGGATTATTTTACTTTGTCTAGACTTCATATTTTTCTCTCTGTTGTCTTTTCAGCTTATGCTAATAGTTTCAGAAAGCTTTAATCTCTTCTTTCTCTTTTGAATGTAGTTTTGCTGCAACATCAAAATTAGCTGCCTGTAATGGTATTTCAATGACTCTGAGTATTGTGACTGATTATCATATTTTATAAACTGTCATTGTATGTGTAAACAACTATTTTTAGTTAGTATATAGAGATAGTTGATTAATAAACTTTACTCTTCTTTTTTCACATTGTGCTTCCCTATCCCCCCCACCCCTCTTAAAGGGATAAATTAAAAGAAAAACCCAGTTAGAAAACATCCAAGAAGAATTTAAGTGTGTTTTGTGTATTTGGTAGGTTTGGAGTCACCATCAATTATCCATGAGGGCAAAGTTACAGACTCTTCCATAGAAATTCTCTGGAATCGAGCTGATGGGAATTTTCAGCATTATGAAATCACATGCATAAACTGTGCTGACATTTTCATGGTACGTTATAAAAGGCTCTTGGAGGAATTAAACTTGAACCTTTCATGCTGAATTCAATATTACTGCATTCTTATATTAGATAGTAGTGAAATTAAATAACCCCCAAGCTTTTTTGCTTGTTTAGATTGTAGAGCCCTTCTTACATGAAAACTTGCAAATGTATTGTTTTGGGTTGCTAGGTTCAGAAGGTAGTGCAAGAAGCAGCAACATTCTCTAACCTGGAGCCTGCTACCATGTACACTTTTTCAATTCGCACAGAGAAAGAAGGTTTTAAAGACAGCACTCCTAACATAAAAGAAATACAGACAGGTACAGCCGTGTAAACACTTTCGGTCTTATTCAATGTTCAAATATTTATTTGTGGGTTTTTTGTTTGTTTGCTTGCTTTTAAGGAACATTTAGTAAATAGTACATTTTTCCTAGATTTTCTTTATGGCCTGGCAGTGTTTTCTCTTGTCTCTTTTTCTATTTCTTCTTATATGGATTAGCACAACCTTTTTTTGTGTGTATGTATTGTTAGATAATAGGTTGGCTAATTGTCTGGGTCTGGTCAAATTTTCCATTTCGGATTTAATTTCTCCATTGTTCAGTTAGGTAGACAATGAAGTACCATTTTCCATGTTAGCAGCTTACTCCCAGTGGCAGATGGTAACTTATTCCATGGTTGTCATATGAAATAAAGGATGATTGGGAAGGATATATGTAAAATGTATATTTTCACAACTAGGTGAAGTAAAATTGTCAACTAGTCTGCTGAAATAACTATTTTAGTTATTCTTGACACTGATGCTATATATAAATATATATTTAGAAACTGGTCATGTCTACTATTCTTTTACTGTAATAACAAGGAATGGAATAGAGAAGAATATCTTGACATTTTGTTCTTATACATGGAAGAATTTTATAGAGGAAAGAAAATATATATTATTTAATTTAACTTTTTTTTCTCAGGAAAGAAGAGAAGCATTTCATATTTAGATTGCAATTAACTTTCCAGATGGTTACCTTGTCACTATTTGGTATTTAATTAGAATGAGTCCTAAAAATCATTAAATATTTCTGAGGGTCGTGGTTGTACAAGACCAAGATATAATCTCTTCCTACATTTTAGAGGCAAGGGAAATATTAAGTACAATGCTAGTGGGATTCACATCGGCTTTATTTTAAAGTTTAAAATGATTCTTGTTGACTTTTTTCCTCTTTTGACTTTTAACTGTTCATCTCTACTAAGAAGAATAAAAGAAATGTCTTGGCTACCCTCAGAGTTTGAAGAATATCAAAGAAATCCTGGGAGTGTTTCAGGGCTGTTTTAAAGAAGGTGCTTAGTATGTTAGAAAATGTTATCTTACGTGTGTGCTTTAAATGATACAGCCCCAAGTGCAGTTGAATTTATGAACCATAGCAGAAACTCAAGTGCAGTAACTGTTAACTGGCCTTCACCCAGAAGTCTTCTGGATGGGTACATTATTTCAATATCCAGTGAAAGGTTAACAAAAGAAGAAATCCTGCCTTCCACAAAAAGGTATGATAACATTGAAAGAAATTATGTCAAGTTACATGGAACACAAAATTAACATTATATATATATATATATATATATATATATTTCCTAAACTAAATAGTTTAATATAAATTGATATTAGAAAACTTTGCAAGAAAACTTTTTGGATTATAATGTAATTAGAATAACTGATGTGTAGAGCCAAATTTATCTCTGCAAATAGATAATGATGAGTTATTTCAGGATATTGTCTTGCTTGTATGTATAAAATACACTCTGATTTATATGAAATTTCTCCATGTGAGAAGATGTGATTTCTAATTAACCATTTGTGCTTAAGCATGGCACATTGTTTCCATGATAGGCAGTAAAAACCAAACATATATAACATTATTTCTTCAGGTAGTGTGAGATAATAGCGTTTTCCCAATGTTTCTGAGCTAAATATCTTAATATGTGACTTTTTTTTTTTTTTTTTTTTTTTTTACTGTGTAGGACATTCACATTTGATAACCTTTCTCCAGGGACTGACTTTTCAGTTAGCATTATAACTACCAAGGGATTAAAGAGAAGCCATCCTATTGTCCTCATGGTTAGCACTTGTGAGTTCACTTTATATTTGATTAACTTTTCATGGGGGGATAGTTTTGTTTAAAGCCAATATCTAACTTAAAATGAATGAATTTGGAACTATGCTTGAGAAGGAACACTGCATGAAATATGGAGAAAGCCTGAGTTATATTCCTGCCTCTATCACTTATTAGTTATGTGACCTTGGGCAAAACTACTATGTCCACACTTAGAAAATGAGAATAATCATCCCTGCCTTGGTATAAAATCTTGTTACTAAAATGAAATTCAAAGTTCTTAGTGAAAGTTCAAAGTGCCCTAAATCCCAGGGCACTATCATTATGAAATACTTGATATTTTTCTAACATTTTGACTGTATCTATAACATTTTATGAAAGCCAAACAAAAACCTTGGACTATGATAAAAATAGATGGCACTGTGTTTTCAATTGCATTATTTGGGTTCAATTTGTCTCTTCGGACCTTATTAGCATCACTTACATGTATGAATATATTCAGACATGTTCCAAAGAACCCTGTCATCTGTAGGTCATAGTTGCCTGAATGTGCACGCAAGTACCAGTGCCCTAGGAGAATGAGAGGAGGCTTAATTTCAGAATTTTCCATGTGGAGGAAGGGAAAGCTCTGGCAAATGCAGCAGCAGTCAAATCAATTCCAGGGAAAGAAACTAAAAAATTTGAGCACTTATATATCAACATGGTACTATGTGCTTAAGTTACCACATTGACCCTCCCAAGATTATCTAAAATGTAGGTTAAGGCTCAGAGGCATTCATAATTCATTATTTAAGGTGAGATTTAACCCAGGTCTAAGCTAACTGATATGATACTGCTGCCTCTCAAAAATAGCATCCTAAAAACACACACACACCAGAAATAAATGAGAAATGGCTTCACTTTTTAAAATGGTAACTCATTATTTTATATCAGTGAAACCGTCTTAGATTTGCGTGTGTCATTATAGTTGTCAACATCACCATCACCAGTGTCATCATTGTTGTTTTCATCACATTGAATGATTGTTCGTTGTCAAGCACCTTGCAAAGAATTTTTATGATTTATATCACTTAATTTTCAATGACAACCTTTATTCTATCAATCATAATGAGGAACTTTTTTTCAAATGAGAAAAGTGGGGATTAGAGAATTTCAGTAGCTTATACATGATGACAGGGATTTGAACCCACATTTCCCATTAAATTCTGTCCTTATAACCACTGTGTTTCAGTAGAAGAGTCACTGTGTTATTGGAAGGCCTGACTCTACCCATTCTTGGCTCTGTGACTTTTTAGAAATCATTATTCTATTTGGACCTCAAGTTCCTCATTTCTACCCAGTTTAATAATATATTTTTAGAGGTTGTTGTTCCGGCTTTGTTTTCCCTGACAATTTCACTTGTGTCTTTAACGATATATAATTTTTGTACCACCCTGTCTTTGAAAGCCACCTCAAATCCATTTAGAAGTAGATGGGATATTAAAAAATTTACAAAACAGAGCTAAAATATAATGGTAATGTGGGGTGATAAATTAATTCCAGTAGGAAGGCAATATGCCCTCTAAAAAACGAAATAAAAAGAATTGTGAATCAGCAATACAGGTTTAATTTTGAGCTGAATTCTAATAAATTAAATTAGTATGTAAGTAGGGACAAAATATCATGCAAAATTTGAATTTAGAGATGAAATTATTTGATTCCAATGAAATGTTAATATCACATTTCTTCCAATTAAGGAAAGCAATGCAACATTTCAATTTGAAATATGATTTATAAGTAGAGACATGTTACTGATTAGAAAAATAAATTTCTAGAACCTTCTTAGGTAAAATGTTTAAAGGAAAAAGGAATTTGTGAACTTAAGGAAGGGGAAAGGTGCATCTCTTACTTTATGCAGTGCCATAAAATTTTAAGCTAAAAATTCCAATTGTAATAACTGCACACTGAATTCTGCTATGAGAAAAATATTTTTGAAAATCCATAGTTCATATAATTTTATTGTGGAAAAAGGCTTTCTAGAAAATTCTTTTTTTCCTTCCACTATAAAGATGAGGAGACTGGGACTCAGGGTAAACAGCTTGCATGAGATCAGATGGTGCTAAAACTGACTAGAAAAACCTAGGTATCCTGTCCTCTCTTTCATAGTGTGATAGTCCAAGGTCATCAGTCCAGTGTAGATAAGATAATGGCAGAACCTTTAAAAAAAATATTGCTGTGTCTTATTTCATTGCCCTAGGTCCAGACCCACCATCAGACCTGCTAATTTTGGGGCAGGAAGAAAACACAATATATTTGTCTTGGAAATTCCCACAAGGAGGCTTCGAAAAGTTTCAGGTAAAGAACAGTGCTGCTGTCATAAAACCTTGATGTTTATTGAGGTCTTTATTTTACTCCTTCTTTTTGTCCTTTGTTTTACATTAATGGTTTTAGATATTATAGTAGCATTCCTTTAATGCAGTGGTTCTCAACCTTCTGGCCTTTTAAATACAGTTCCTCATGTTGTGATCCAACCATAAAATTATTTTCATTGCTACTTCATAACTGTAATGTTGCTACTGTTATGAATCGTAATGTACATATCTGATATGCAGGATGGTCTTAGGCGATCCCTGTGAAAGGGTCGTTAGATCGCCAAAAGGGTCACGACCCACAGGTTTAGAACCGCTGCTTTAATGTAAAATTCTTCTCCAAAGCAATGCTTCTATGTACTGCTTTAAAAATACAAAGTTGTCATGGGAGGCATTCGACGTTAAATAAAAGCTGAGACTTGACTTTAAATGAGCTTGGAATTTCAATGGAGCTAGGCATGCACATACATAGTACAAAAGTAAATAAAGAAATGACGGCACTGGAGGATAATGCTTCTGTTGCAGCACTGGCCAAAATAACAATTCTAGGAGTTAAAGCTGGGTGATGTGCCACAGGTTCCCTTTCAGGGGATATATGGATATAAAGAAGAAACCATGTTGAGATTGATAGGATGGGCAGAGACCTGGAATGGTTTGGTCCCACATCCATGTGGGATGGTTAAAAATCCCAGAGGAATATCCTGGCTTCATAGGTCCCCTCTGAGGAGCAAGGGCTTCCAGCCCCACACCAGGATCCCCACCTCAGGGTTGCAGTGCTGAGAAGTACCCCAAACTTCTGGCTGTGAAAACCAGCGGGGATTGTGGCTGAGTGAGATGGAAGGCTCCTGGAGTCCTAGGTGTTCCTCTTAAAGGGCCCACATGGACTTACTTAGACTCATTCCTCTGACCTCCAGCACTGGGGCATCAGGGGCATAAGGGGAGGAACTGAGTTGACTGTCTTTAAAATGAGGGCTTGTGGGGGAAGCTTTCTTCCAGAGACCATTGTTCCTAACTCCCCCTTCCCTGCCCCAGGGCCAAAGACAAGTGCTATATCTGATCTGAGTCTCCATCAACCTGGCTCACACTGTTCACCCCACCTGGGGATTCCCTGAGACCCTGCTCTACCCAACTTACAGGCCCACTGGAGCTGTTTCCAGTGGCTTTTCTATACAAATGGCCAGTCTTGGTTCATGCTGTAGACTTTCCTAAAATATCTCAAAGGTTTACAAACCCCAAACAAGCAGCATCTGGCCTCAGTGTGCCCCATATCTCTTGCTAAATAGCCCCATGCCTGGCAGTAGTGGCAGCCAACATTCGTTTGTAGCTTGGCCTCTCCCATCACCTCCAAGCCCAGCACAAGTAGCATCCATCTGCAGATCACTTTGTAACTCATGCTTGGTAGTCCTAAGCAGGGCATCGGTTACAGCTGATCCTTGCTTACACCTTCTGTGAGGCACCAGAGCCAGCACATCCAGTGGATGCCTTCAGACCATGTTGAAACATAACCACCCAACCACCTCCGCAAGTGACACAATCAAGGGGTGAACTCAGTGGACACTTGAACCCCACTGAGACAAGTCCTGTGCTGTGGGGTTGGCCTCTGTGCAGAAGATCCTCTGCTGTAGTCACCGGCAGTCCTTACAGCCAATCGGCTTGGGGGTAAAACACCCCCCATTGAAAGCAAACAAGGCTCAACTACAATAAAAAGATGTGCATGGATCATAGGGTAGGAAAGGAGAGTGCACCGGGAGTCCCCAGTTTAAGTGACCTGAGAGACTGTGCCACTATAAAGCTACTCTACCAAATCTGGGAGACATAGCAGCTCTACCTAATACATAGAAACAAACACAGGGAGTTGGCCAAAATGAGGAGACAAAGAGACATGTCCCAAATGAGAGAACAGAACAAAACTACAAAGAACCAAACAAAATGGAAACAAGTAATCTACAGATGCAGAGTTCAAAACACTGGTTATAAGAATGCTCAATGCACTTAAGAGTAGACAAATTTTGGGAAAACTTCAACAAAGAGATAGTAAACATTAAAATAAAGTTAGAAACATAAAAAAGAACCAGTCAGAAATGAAGAATGCACTAACTGAAATGAAGAATACATTAGAGGGAATAAACTGTGGAGTAGATGAAGCAGAGGATCAAGCTGGCAATTTGGAAGAATTTAAAAAAAATAAGGATAGTTTAAGGAGCCTGAGGACAACTTCAAGCATACTAACACTTGCATCATGGGGATGCCAGAAGGAGAAGAGAGAGAGAGCAAGGAATTGAAAACCTATTTGAAAAAATAAAGATTGTGAACTTCCCTAAGCTAGTGAAGGAAATAGACACACAAGTCCAGGAAGAGAGTCCCAAACAAGATGAACCCAAAGAGGCCCACACCAAGTCACATGATAATTAAAATGCCAATGGTCAAATACAAAGAGAGACTCTTAAAAGCTTCAAGAGAAAGCAGTTAATTACCTACAAGGGAGCTCCCATAAGACTATCAGCTGATATCTCAACAGAAATTTTGCAGGCCAGAAGGGATTGGCACAAAATATTCAAAGTGATGAAAAGCAAGGACCTATAATCAAGATTACTCAGCAAAGCTAGAATTGGAGGACAGATAAAGAGCTTTCCAGACAAGAAAAAGGAACTAAACACCATCAAACACAGTATTACAAGACATATTAAAAGGTCTTATTAAGGAAAAAGAAGAGAAGAAAGAAGGAGGAAGAGGAGGAGGGGGGCAGGAGAAAAAGAAGAGGAAGAAGAAAAGTAAAAAAGTGAATAAAAATGCTTATTCATTTATTTTGTTTTTTAGAATCTGCATTTAAGTGAAATCATATGGCAGTTGGACATCCCTCTCACAATCCGGGACTGCTGGCTTCCAACCGCTTCTGTCTGATCACCCCTAACCACTCCCCTGCCAGCCTGATCAACGCCTAACTGCTTCCCTGATGGCCCGATTGCCCCCAACTGCCCTCCCCTGTGGGCCCGGTCCCCCCAACTGCCCTCCCCTGTGGGCCCGGTCCCCCCAACTGCCCTCCCCTGTGGGCCCGGTCCCCCCAACTGCCCTCCCCTGCGGGCCTGGTCCCCCCAAACTTCCCTCACCAGTGGGCCCAGTCCCCCCAACTGTCCTCCCCTGTTGCCCAGTCACCCCTAACTGCCCTCCACTGTGGGCCTGGTCACCCCTAATTGCCCTCCCCTGTGGGCCCGGTCACCCCCAACTTCCCTCCCCTGCTGGCCTTGTCACCCCTCACTGCCTCCCCTGGTGGCCATCTTGTGGTGGCCATCTTATGACCACATGGGGGCAGCCATCTTGTGCGAGGTTGTGACAGTCAATTTGCATATTCTTTATTATATAGGATGGTGTCAGATGGGTACTAAATTTATCAGGGCAATCACTTCATAGGTTATATAAATGCCTAATCACTGGGTGTACATCTGAAGCTAATATACTATTGTATATTAACTATAAATAAAATTTTTTAAAAAGGCATTAGCATGTGTATTATACACTAGTTAAATTTAAAATATTTAAAATAATATCTAAAATATTAGTTATTAAATAACCAGAGACCTGGTGCATAGATTCATGCACCAGTGGGGTCCCTCGGCCTGGCCTGTAGAGATTGGGCTGAAACCAACCCAGTTCACAGATTTGTCCTGAGCATGTGTGGCCCATCTCAACCAGTCCTGATCAGCCAGACCGCAGCAGCAAGCTAACCTCCCAGTTGGAACGTCTGCCCCCTGGTGGTCAGTGTGCATCATAGCAACTGGTCAAACGATCTAATGAATGGTCGGACACTTAGCATATTAGGCTTTTATTATATAGGACTAGAGGTCCAGTGCACAAAATTCATGCACGGGAGCGTCCCTCAGCCCGGCCTGCACCCTCTTGCAGTCTGAAACCCCTCGCTCCTTACTTTCTGCCTGCTTGCTCCTTAGCATTGCTGCGGAAGCAGGAGAGGCTCCTATGACCACCGCTGCGCTCGCCAGCCGTGAGCCTGGCTTCTGGCTGAGCGGCACCCTCCCTGTGGGAGTGCACTGACCACCAGGGGGAAGCTCCTGTGTTGAGCGACTGCCCCTGGTGATCAGTGTGCATCAGAGTAACTGGTTGTTCTGGTTGTTCCGCTGTAATGATTGCTTCAGCTTTTATTATATAGACTAGAGGCCCGGTGCACAAAAATTTGTGCACTTTTGGGGGAGGAGGGGCCCCTCAGCCTGAACTGCGCCCTCTCACAGTCTGGGACCCCTCAGGGGATGACCACCTGCTGGCTTAGGCCCACTCCCCAGGGGATTGGGCCTAAGATGGCAATCAGACATTCCTCTGGCAGCCCGGCAGCCCTCGGGGGATGTCCACTTGCCAGCAGGGAGCAGGCCTAATCTGCAGTCGGACATCCTTAGCGCTGCTGAGGAGGCAGGAGAGGCTCCCACCACCACCGCTGTACTGGTAGCCATCAGCCTGGCTTGTGGCTGAGCAGAGCTCCTCCCAAGTGAGAGTGCCCTGACCACCAAAGGGCAGCTCCTGCATTGAGCGTCTACCCCCTGGTGGTCAGTGTGTGTCATAGTGACCAGTCATTCCCAGTCCTTCTGCTGTTAGGGTCAGTTTTCATATTACCCATTTACTATATAGGATAGAGGCCTGGTGCACAGGTGGGGGCCAGCTGGTTTGCCCTGAAGGGTGTCCTGGATCAGGATGGGAGTCCCCCTGGGGTGCCTGGCCAGCCTGGATGATGGGATGATGGCTGTTTGCAGCTGGTCACACACCCTTCAAGGTGGGGGTCCTCACTGGGGTGCCTGGCCAGTCTGGGTGAGGGGCTGAGGGCGACTGAAGCTCCCAGCCTCTTCTTTTTTCTTTTTTTTTGTATTCTGGGATTTATTTACCTTCTATGGCTGTCACTGGAGCTGAGAGCAGGCTCCAGCTCTGAGGCTGTTGCCGGCTGAAAGCAGGTATCTGGGTTTGTTTAGATTCTATAATTGAAACTCT